GACAGGTTTAGGGACTACCAATCAGAAGGGAGCTAGTGTGTATATGCGCTGGGCGTGAGGAGACTTAACGTTTCTTTTACCCTTCTTTCTTTGTATCGTTGCTGGTATCTGCATGCTTGATCCTATTTGTTATATATTTCCAAAAAGCGTTTCTTCGTCTCCGACTCCTTCGTCTTTATGTCTTTGGAGCGCAGTGCACTCGGACCTTCCTGTGGAGGACCGTGCCGTGCACTGATATAGGGAAGCGACCGAATCAGGCGGGACTGTAAATGAGCGACATTAACAGCGAAATCAAAAAGTAGGTTGAAAGTTTAGGGTGTGGCATTTGGAAGACTTGTATTACACTGAGACAATCTACCGTTCAACCGTGGCTGTAGATACAACCAGCCAGTCAGTGTGCTCGTTCATTGTCTTTTACCCGGGCATATCCTAGTCCGTAAAGTCAACATAGTTTTCGCGGCGGTCTCAAAGTGACCGTGCGGACGTTGAACAATGTGCTTGAGACAACGAAAATACAGGCAAGTGTGTGAAATATGCAAGTGTGTGAGCGCGTGTGTATGCGTTCGCGCCCTTGTGCTTGTGTGGGCACTCCACCACTTGGCCTATATTTCGAAAGACGCATGTGACTTCCGCAATTAACATGCAGACATCTGCTACTTCCTTGAGCGGTTGTATTATTGTGTGAGTGAGTGTGTGTATGTGTGGGTAGGGGGGAGGGGGCGCTGGGTGCTTGGATAACAATACAGGCTTTTGTTGATTGAGCCTGAGAATTTGATTTGATTCAAGAACTGACATCACAGCACTCGGTACATTCCCATAAGCGCCTCGTCCCCATCCTCAGCAGCCAGCGGAGAGTTCCGATACTAATGGTGCTAATAGCATTATGATTAAACGTCCGTCTTGCCTTTCCTCTGAGCCCCGGTGAAAAAATCAAGAAAATACTCCTTACCTGTGTCCTCGGCAGCGAAGCATGCCACTCTGCATGAAGCATACCTGTTCTGATCTTCCTCAGCATGCTTTCTGAATCAGTTACAATCACGATGTGTGTGTGTGTGTGTGTGTGTGTGTGTGTGTGTGTGTGTGTGTGTCGTGTTCTCTAGCCAGCAGAAAGCAGCAGTGACTGCCTCTACCTCCATTTTTAAGCTGGATGTTTTGGTATCTGCTTCTTCTTCTTCGCGTTCACCAGCTGTACACTCTGGCGGAACGTTCTGGTTGCTCGTCCACTACTGAACTGCAGTCCTGCTCCAGAACCTGAGTGTTGTGTGTGTATCAGTTTTACAGATCTCATTCTCTTGAATACAGACTTTTGGCTCCTTGCCTCTCCGGCAGATGTACTCCGACTTCAAAGGAAGCTCCCCAATTAGTCGACTGTTACGACATGCTTTTGGAGAGCCAGTGGGTCTATTCTTGTTTTCCCCACAATGGGGCCCGGAACACACACGGGGGATTGTGGTATCATATGTTAGGCTCTCCTGTACCAAACGTCGACCAGAGCCTGGGAAAAAAATACTTTATCTAACCTGATAGGTGTTGTCACTCGTAATGTAGGCTGCATATTCCAACACTCAGACACAGATGTGGGAGTCACCGTGGCCGAGCGGCTAGACGCTCGTAGTGGATCGGAAAGTCGTGGGTTCGCTCCCTGGCGGAGCCGGACTTTTTTCAAAAATGACCTTGGCTTCCAGGTCGACCCAGCCTTAAGTGGGTGCAGTTCCGGGAAAATAAAGGCGGCGGCGTGATGCTGATACATCAACCATCTTGTGCCGATTGGTCTATAAAAATATAGGTCTAACCATATGTGCCCTATACGCTTAAAGGCGTGGAAAATGGTCCTTTACTTTACTGTTACTTACAGACACGGATGTACAAATGTCAGTCTACGAAAGAACCTTGACTGTTTGATAAACGTTCCTTTAACTAAACCAGTAGAACCACTCACATTGGACTAAACGCTATTTCGTAGCCGTTTTATGGACATCATCATCATCATCATCATCCATTAGCTCTTTGAGTGCAAGGATGTTAACACCAGAAAAAAAAAAATATTGTTACCTACCCTTAAGGCGGTTGGAATACTTAGGAAAGCAGGAATACCAACCAGTGCAAAATTAATGTTCAGTTGTCTTTAATGCGAAGAAAGAAACTTTGGGTGAATTTTTCATTATTTTCTTTAGGTATATGGGAAGTTTAGTTAATTTTACCCTCAAATCACTTGACCCGTAAATTTTTTTTCTGTATCTGTTTTTTGTTTTCTGTTGTTGTAATGTACGTTGAGAATGTTCTGCAACCTTGTCAATAGCATTATCTTCTGAATACATCTGCATTCAGAACTCTTCTTGGCTTTCTTCACGGGATTTCTAGTTTGAATTGCTGATCTCTAGCAGATTTGGGAAAATTCTTGATTATTGCAGCGGCACCTAGTTCGAGAACGGCTGCTGTACCAATTCAACGCCAGTATTGCCTTTGCAACATTGTGCCTTACCCATTCAGTCGCTACTCCTAAATGAACCGAATCATTTTGCATGAATGGTGGTGGTTACAAATAAAGGCTTCCATGCATGTAACATTGGTCCTATTTTTGTTTTGGATGAAGACTATTATTTCAAAAGGGGTCTAAAATAAAAAAAATAAATCGGTAATACAAACGTTAGTCTGACCATTTTCACAGTGTTACACACTAGCTCATTTCTGATTGGTCGACCTTGAGCCACGCTATTTGCCAAATGGTTATGGGGTTTCCCGCAATGCAATTGATTTCGCGTGTTGTATATTACAGCATGCCAGCGCTTTTAACACTCCAAAAACATCGACAAACTGGGTCTAACACACAACCCCTTTAGAGAGTGATGAAACCTATGTCACAGGCATTCTCTTTCTAGGAATGAAAACGTAAATGCAAGACAACCCAGAAAGCAAATAACAGAGTGGCACGTAACTTACATACATCAATGTGAAGTTTTTTTTTTTTGCTTTTTCTTCTTCTATTGTCAATATCTACTTATGCCGCTAGACGTCGCAGTTTATCAGACGATCGGCAGTCGAGCCAGGGCGCGCTCGGTGGCTTGATATGCCTTGATGCTATGCAGTCTCAATGTGTCAGTGACTCCTTGATTCCGCTTTCTTCTCTGACTTCCCCTGCATCTTGGTGTTTAAATTTTCAGGTTTTACTGTCTGGCATCGTTGGTTTCAATCTCATTTAATTCTTTGTTTCTCAGTAAGTTTGATTTCTCACTCGATCTCTTCTGGTTGTATTCACAGCCATTCTCAAACATCTCATCTCACAGGTCCAAGTCTAATTTTTGAGATCGAGATAAAAGAACTGATGTTTGCTGTCGCATCAATTGGAAACTTTTTAATCTTAGGCGGTTCAAAGCAAAAACCAGAGTTAAATCCTATATTATTATGGATCTTTCGTTTGCTGACGACTGTGCTCTAGATGCTAGTTCAGAAGCAGATCTGCAGTATTTCATAGACAGATTCTCAGAGGCTTGTACCAATTGTGGACTTACCATGGGGGGCTGCGTGGTCTCGAGGCATGGTGACCGCCTCAAGTTCTAGAGGTTCCTGGTTCAATCCCCGGTAAGGGCTATGATTTTTTCACGTAGACTTAGACTTCTAGAAATTCCCCTTAGTCTCTGGGTAGTGACATCAGACGCCCGTGTGTCCGTTAGCAGTTGGAAAAACAGGAGTTTAATATCTACCTAAAGTATTTCAGGATCTTCGCCGGCACTACAGAGCGTGTGCAATGTGTTAAGCTTCTTCGGAATCAGACTTGGGTTAGAAGAAGAACGGAGCACTTAATGGTTGCTACCGTGTGCAATGTTATTGATCCGTTGTGTGATTGATTGATTGATTTGATTCAAGAACCGACATCACAGCACTCGGGGTATTCCTATAAGCGCTCCGTCCCCATCTTCAGCAGCCAGCGATAATAATGGTGCCAGTAGCATTTTGATTAAACGTCCGTCTTGCCTTTCCTCTGAGCCTCGATCATCTGCCAGAACCTCTCGTCACTTCCCACTGCATCAGTCTCACCAGACTGTGGTGATCCATCTGCTCCTGGGAACTGTACACGTTGTTTAAACTTGTAAACCTTTGTTTGCGCTTACCGTAATAAACACTGACGAAACTGAAATTGTTTACCCACCCAAAACTAAAACTGGTAACCTAAAGTCGATATAAATATTGAATTTATAATTTGTCTTTTTGACTCTAAACGGACAACAGGGTGTTTTAAAATTGGAGCAAGTCAGTACGTGACATTCTTGTTGTATTTCAATGAAGGCCTTTTAACCGCAACATTCATTTGTCGTTTGCGATTGTGATAATATGTTACTGACCAGTTCTCTCTCTTGTTGTGAGAAAGTACCGGTCACAGAAGGTACCACCATGAGGATAAGAATCACCCCGTAGAGAGGTCCCAAAAACCTTTTTTAACCGTTATGGCCATATTTATGGCCCGGCTATGTTAATGGCTGCTTTTAAAAAGCCAGGGTGGAGCTTCAAAAAACGTAAAATTGCATCCCACATGGGGACGAGAGATTGCTGACTATTTCTACTTGTCGTTTCAACTGACATCTTTTCAACAAGAATTCACATTGATTACTCCCGTGCACAGCTTGTTTTTAATTAATGAGGTTTTTATTTATTACCTGGGCTTAATTGCTTTTTTAGTGCGCTTCTTATAAGGAGAAGATACTCCAGTGTTGTGTATTGACATTTACACAGGGTAGACAACCCATATCTAATATGATCTGGTTACTGTGAAGTTTACATAAATGTACACAGGAAATGCAATAAGAAATTGTATATTTTGTTGATGTCTGATTTCACTTTGGAGTTTTGTTCCTTTTATTTCTCAAAGATTTGTTAAAGGGGAAAGATAAAACGAGTATATTATCAACGAAGGAGGGAAAGAGAAAAAAAAATCACTGCAGCTGATAATGAAAACTCTCTGAAAACAAAACCTCGTAAAACTGGAAATCAGCGGTAACCAAACAATGAAATGGATGCGAGATTTGACTCTACCCCTCTTGTTACTTTACTGCTGTGATCTACCCACTCCAGGCGGGCCAAGTTCATGGATATCTGGAATCCAAGCAGACGACAGCCCAAACGAAGTGACCTACAATGTCAAGGTGGACCTGTCTGCAAGCGTTCATGAAATCGGAGGCAGATTTCTCAGCATGTCCTTTCCAGCCAAATATATCCCAGTTCAGTGGTATGTACAGTATTGTTGGTTCCATCTTTTTTGATCCCGTCTTAATCGCCTTGCATCTCTCTGTGATCAAGAGGAAAATATAAAAGCGCATTTGGTGTTTGGTATATTGATTCTTAAGTACTTATCGTGCCCGACTACTTGCATCAATTACTAACAACATTTCTGGTGGCGAATGTTGGCTTTGGCGCCTCTAGCAACTGTCATATGCATTTACTACTTGAACATATTTTTTGATTGTTCGATGACTATGGTTTGATCACCAGTTTTTTCTCATGGGACACTGATGGACATTTCATAAGATTTTTACTAGCACGGGAACAGAGCAAGTATGAGGTGACCTATTCTGCTTTTAACCTCTGTCACATATTTTCCATCTAAAGATATGATTGCTCCTAGATACTTGCATTTTTTAGAATCTGGTACTCGTATGGTAAATACAACACAAGAAGAGACAGAGTTAGGAGTACCAACATTAGAGAGAAAGTTGTAATAAGACCCTGGCTGGATTATATTGACAGACAAAGAATGAAATGGTTCAGCCATTAAATAAGGATGCATGGATAATTTTTATAACAAACCATCTGGGAGAAAGGTGAGTGGTAGACAAGAAAGAGGTGTATAAATGGTTTAGCTGAAATCCGCTAAAAGATTAACAAATCCATCACCCAAGCTACACGAAAAGCGAAGACAAATACTGGGCTACAACCTGGCGTTAAGGAGATGACAAGAGAAGAAAGAGGTATGATTAACAAAGCTATTGAATTATTTTTGGTCAAGTGTGTCTTCCTATCACTACTCGTTTATATAAGTGCCCATCAATACATTTTAATTTGTCATACTGTGTGTGTGTGTGTGTGTGTGTGTGTGTGTGTGTGTGTTGCATTTATGCTATCTTCCTTTACATTTCCTTCTTTCAATTTCACAGTTTGAGTTGTTTAAATTTATTTATCTTTGTTACTTTACTTTAAATGTCACAAACTTTGAATATCCAGGCTCTATAATAAACAACAATGGAGAATGTTCGACATAAATTAAAAGGAGGATGGCCATAGCAATGCAAAGATTGAACAGCCTTGAAAGTCTATTGTTAAGCACCAACAAGGAGATCAAAATTAGAATTTTAAGAGCATGCTTCATACGGATGTGAGACGTGGACTATCTCTCTGTCCTTAAGAAAGAGAATAGGGGCTTTTGAGCTGAAATGCTAACGAAAGATTCTCAGAATATCTTGGACAAGGAAGATGAGAAATATTGACATTTTTAAAGATCTGAACATCCACGAAGATTGGCTAATAGACAGCATCTTGTATCGAAAGCTGAAATATTTTGGTCATATCAAGCGCCACGACGGATTGGAACAAAACTAACAGCAGAAGGAATGATACCAGGAAGAAGGGGCAGGGGCCGACCGACACGAAGATGGGCACAGGATATAAGTGACTCCTTGAGTGTGAAAGTGCATGAGGCGGGAGAACTGGCGAGAGACCGAGTTTCTTCAGGCAGACTGTGACGAGAGCGACGTTCTGCGAAGGACCTGCTACATGATGATGACTTTACATTGACTAGATAATTCGCAGATGTTTTTGTTCTCACTTTACAACAGGACAGAAAAGTTACAGAATTTAGCCTCAGCGCTGTCACCTGCGGACATCCGTGTTCTAGGAAAGTTTCAACATTTTTGTCCGGACCAAAATGTGGAGCCATCAAAGATCCAGGGACGATCTCCTAACGCAGGTGCTCCACAAGATCCTTGCAAAAATAAAGAGGTTGGCTCGGATTTTGTCCTCAGAGGTAGAATGTAATTCTGTTGCACGTTATGTAGGTCACGTTAGGTAAGTAGTTTCATCGGTCGTGGTTTCAGCGTAGAGGCACACGGGTCACCCCATTATAGCTTTGTTCTTGCTCTTGCTCATGCGGCGTGGAATTGGGGCTTAAACAGATGGCTAGGACTCACGAGCAAATAAAATAAAGGAACCTGCAGGAGATGCGTTAGCTGCTGCTCGTGAGTCCCAGCCATCTAGTTTAGCCTTAATACACGACGCGTTAGCGGCGTGTGGGATACCCCTCGGCGGTGGCGGAAGTCGCCGGAAGTGCGCAATTTAAGACGACGGAAGAGCGCAACTAACACGTGACTGAAACCCTGTTAGGGTATATTTTTCGCCTCGATAATTTAGGACCGTTATTAGCCCATTAATTATCAAGGCAAAAATTATTCCTTATATAAGCAAACAGGTCATCCCATAGTTGCTTCGCTTCTGCGCCAACGAAAAAACACACACAAAATGTCCATCCCTGTCCCTTGTGGATAGATTGACAGAGTGCAGTCTCAGTAATCCACTAGCATACACACGCATTAAAAGCATAAGGCAGCCATTAGAAGTGCTAACACGAACAGTCTGACATTAGAAATGAAGCTCTTATAAATTAAAAAACAGCTACAAACAGATCCACAGTTGCAAACACCATCAATATTTATTACGCAATGCACCATCAATTCTGTGGCAACAGGCCACGCGCCATTTTCTGAATCTAAATTTCACAACACCAGTCACCGTCGAAAAACATTCCAAATGAAATTCGCAGCTCAGCTCAGTATCTGGGCGACAAAATTATACCCTTTCAGTCTACAAATGGAGAAAAACGCAACAACCACAGCAGCTAAAAATGTGCCACAACTAAAAACAGTCTGGCGTCCATGGCCTTGCGTCCGTTTTTGATCATCATAGTGTGAATTATTGTCCTGTCATTACAAAACAGGTATCACGATATGTTCTGAGAGGTTTTTTTTTAAGGGTAGAAAATTATAGGGAAGAGAAGAAATTTGATAAGAAATAACAAATAATTTATGTCAGCTTTACAAAATCGATCGCAATGAACAAACAAAGGAGGTTGCGGCGATTAGCCTTCATCCGCACATAAAGAACAACACAGCACACATACACAAATATGAACTAACAATAAAGTGATTACATAGGAATATAATCTACAAAATAAATTATACCCATCTATGTCACTGGCGAAAAAAATTCGTTCAAGAGGATGAACAGAACAGGTACTAACCTTTTTTTCGCCACCGCGCGGACGGTAAGCGGAAACCTGGACAGTATACCTGGGTGATGGGAGGAGTTAACGCCAACAGACACACCAGTGTACACTGAGTGTCCAAAAGAGGGAGGAAGGCCTGGAAGGCAAAAACGGATGGCATATTGTTTTTCATATTGCCTATCAATGAATCTAGCATAATGGTCAAATGAGCCAGTAGAATGAAACATTGACATATGTGAAAGTTGGACTAAAAACTAACGAATCTGTTATAGACAAAATATACAAATGTGCAGGATATCGGGAGCCTCTCTTGGCAGTGGTGAAACGACGAAAGCTAGCTTGGTTTGGGCACCACGGGGTGAGACATGACTCGATTGCAAATAGTGTACTTTAAGGAACATTGAGGGGTAGATGAAGAAGAGGAGGGCAACGATGAGTTGGAATGACAACATCAAGAAATAGACAGGACTAAGTTATCACACACTAGTTCTTCTAAGCAGAAGACAGAAAAATGATGGGTTGTGTGTGCTTGCATCGATACACCTCTACGAGCCTACTGGGTCAACAGTTATGTTATATCAAGAAACATGTTCTTCCCCTCTCTCTTTCTCCCTCTCTTTCTCTCTCTCTCTCTCTCTCTATATATATATATATATATATATATATATATATATATATATATATATATATATATGTGTGTGTGTGTGTGTGTGTGTGTGTGTGTGTGTATAAGGGCGCCGGGCGTGGCTTAGGCGTTGCAAGTCCGACTCGTAATTCCATCGTACCGCGATTGAAACCACTGCTGGCTGCGTGAATTTTTATCATGGTATGGGGCGTCGCAGATCGACCCAGCCTAAATGGGTACCAGGATGTATGTCCTAGGAAAGTAAAGACGACCGGCGTAATGCTAGCCACATTACCCACCTAGTGCCTATTAGTCTGTAAAAATATGGGTGCTTTTTCCAGATGCCCGATGCGCCTAAAGACGTGAAAAGAGATCTTTACTTCACTTTATATGTATATATATATACATCATCATCATTATCATGTAGCATGTCATTTGCAGAACGTCGTTCTCATCACGGTCTGCCTAAAAGAAACTTGGTCTCTTGGAAGCTCTCCCGCCTCATGTACATTCGTACTCAAGGAGTCACTTATATCCTGTGCCAATCTTCGTGTTGGTCGGCCCCTGCCCCTCCTTCCTGGTACTATGCCTTTCGAGTTCTCTGCCAACGATGCTAAGTTTTTCCTGAAACATGCTCCTAACATTCCATGTTTTTACCTTTAACTTTTTCTTTAGAGCGGTTACAGAGTTGTAGTACCGTCGGGCTTAAGGCCGTCATCACAACTACCCTTACTTGCTCTGCCATCTTTCTCTTCCCCAGTTTGCGTTTGCGATCTGCCTGGCCTGGGGGCGTCACCATCAGATCTTTGAGTTTCATTTTTAGCTTCCATGATGAGTTTCTTTGGATAGTAATGTGGTAGTTTTCCCTTGCTTTCCACAACCACATGGCTTTAAACTACGTCCTAAGCCTTCAGTAACCTTTCAATTGCTAGGGCAAGTGAGTACCCTGCTCTGTGATGCTCCTGCTTATAGTAGAGGTCACCCCAGAGGTGTCCACTTATCCCCGCGGATACGCTGTCCCCATAGCTGTGTTGGCTACACCAGTTTACCACCCTTAACAGCGTGGAGGTGCCTTTGGGGTTTTCCCTTCACGGAGTCTTAAGACCAGTATGGCATTTCCCAAAACTCTCTAGCACTTTTAAAGAATATATATATATGTGTGTGTGTGTGTGTGCGCGCGAAGTGAATATACCCTATACACACACACACACACACACACATATATATATATAAATATATATATATATATATATATATATATATATATATATATATATACACAAGGTCCGACAATTAAGTAATGAGACTAATTTCATAAAAAATTAAAATAATGAACAGTTGAAAATATAACCTGTATCTGATTCAAAGTAAGCCCCTTGTGAATTAAAACAACAAGTAGCACTATCTAACACTGGAACCACCTCTGTAGTACTTTTTGTTGTTATACCCCTTAAAGTCGATGTTACGGCCCTTTGGATGTCATCAATATCGTCAAAGAAGCGTCTGTTCAATGGTAACTTTAATTTTGAGAATATTAAAAAAAGTCACAGGGAGACAAATTTGGGGAGTAGGGTGGATGGTTGAGGACACACACTTGTTTTGAGGCCAAAGATTCCTGTACAACTTCCGCCCTTTGAGCTGGTGCATTGTTACCAAGAAGAAACAAATTGCCAGGTATTAAATACAAACCGGCAAGCAATTTTTTTTTTTGCACAAATCTTCCACTAAAATGTAACGAATAGTCCCTGAATTAACATAAAATTCATCTACCTTCATTTTCACAGTCGAACAACGATCTTCTTGTATCCGTTCTCGGAATTTTGCAATGAGTTCCTCATTACAAACAGAAACTGTGCGTCCAGGTTTAGTTACATTAGTAATCATTTCCACACTACTTTTGAATCGTGAATACCAGCTGAAAATTTGTGCACGAGATAAAAAAAATTATCCCTATAAACTTGTCGCATCAATTCAACTGTTGTCGCTTTTTCTGAGTTTTAAACATAATCTGATGTTAGATTTTTTTTTGTTGCTCCATGCTGATTACGTAACAATGCACATCTGACTAGGTTAACAATATGGTGACTTGTTTGTTGTCTGCTTATCGGGCGGCGATGAAGAGATCATAGACGTAGGTAGCCTTTTTGGATACTTTGGTGTGATTCATAGATGGCTTAGCAATAACAAAATTAGTCTCATTACTAAATTGTCGGACCTGGTATATAATGTTTCAATCACTCCTGCAGGTAACCAGTGGCAGATTTTCAATGCAAATGTGGCTAAAGTCGGCTGGAGTCTTCTGCTGGGATTTGAAAACACCAAACGAAAAGCGGACGGATCCTGGGACAGCTCGCTTGCCGAGTTGCTCTTGAACTACTCGTCCAGCAAAGACATACCTATCGGATACTTCCATCTAGGAAATGGTAATAAGTCACTGAAAGTGTTTAGCTTTACGTCAGTAGTGACAGATAAGGTAATCTTTCTTTACATAAACTACTGATTTAAGATCACATTGGTCAGATCCACAGATCCTCTGGCAAAACCGCAAATGATGCAACTGTTGGTGCAGCATTTTGATTAAACACTCCTTGTAATCTTTTTCTACACCACTCTTTGCCAGACCCATTTCTAATTCCACGTTCATAAATTTGTAAGCAATTTATTTCTTCTAACTTGGTGTCTTCTATCAATATTCTTTGTATATTTGTCTTCAGAATGTCACCTTTGTTCGAACCGGCCGTTCAGGTAGCAATCACTAGGCAGTCGGTGGTCAAAAAAATAATAATAACCTCTCTTTCATTCCCATGCACTCCTAAACATCATCATGTAGCAGGTACTTTGTAGAACGTCGCTCTCATCACAGTCTGTCTGAAAGAAACTCGGCCTAACGCCAGTTCTCCCGCCTCATGCACTTTCACCCTCAAGGAGTCATTTATATCCAGTGCCAATCTTCGTGTCGGTCGGCTCATGTCCCTCCTTCCTGGCACCTTGCCGCGTGAGCAGCGAGGTGGATACTCTCGACGGTGGCGGAAGTCGCCGGAAGTGAGGAAAATTAAGACGACGGAAGTGCGTAATTGACACGTGACTGACACTCCGTTTGGGTATATTTTTCGCTTTGATAATTTAGGACCGTTATTCGGAGGATAGCATAGCGTCCTTTGAATGTTTTCTCCATGTTTTGACGGTGTGTAAGGAAACGAGCAGACAGAGAGAGAGAGAGAGAGTGGCCGGTTCTGCACCGCTTGGTGGTGAATTAATGTACGACAAGCAAGATGTTGTGAGAGCTCTTTGGGAGCGAGTGAACAGTGCGGCGGCACAAATAGATCATTACGGTCTGAGGAGAAGGCGGAGAGTTACCAAAGGATCTGGCCGACGTTCAACACTCAAGGGAAATGCGAGACGGATCTGCTATTAGACAGTTACTGGTACTATCTGAATTGAAACTCTTCGCTTGCTGCTGAAGATGGGGGGTGGAACGCTTGTGGGAGTGTCCTGAGCGCTGTGATGTCGATTCTTAATTCAACATGCAACATTATCCTCGAAAACTTATATTAGCGTGAACCAACCTTAACGGGTACAAGGAAAGTTCCAGAAAATAAATTCTACTGGAGTGATGATTACCATATCATCTCTATTGGTTTTTACTGGTGTCTCTATGGCGAAGATGTCAATACGTTTATCACGCTCTCTGAAAGTGGTGGGTTCGTTTCATCACTGCTTTGTTCGGTTCGGTTAAAAAAAGCCACAAAGATCAATCAGCACAGTTGACGACAGAGGATAGCAAAGATAACCATGGCAGGACAGTTCACGAGGCGGGACAGTTGACAGGAGTCGGACCTGATATTTGCGAAGTTCTACAGAGGACAGGCTGCATATTGCTGCAAGTCATTGAGAATTCTGCTGTACCAAAAAATGCTCTTACATGTTCTCTACAATTCTGCTCAGGAACCAATGCAAGACAACCCGTCCGCAGCTGGGATCGAACCCGGCACCTCGGAATTACGAAACGCGTTCGCAACGCCTAAGCTGCAGAGGCCGACTTGGGATATAGTGAGGAGGAACCTATGCCTCCCTATAGCACTATATACGCAATTGTCGTGTCTTCGGAAACGAACAGGGGGACAGACTGGCTGGCTCTGCACAACTTGGGAGAATATTAATGTGTGATAAAGACCTGGTTAGGGTCCTATGGAGAACGTGTATAATTTGGAGGAGCAGATGGATTACCACATTCTGGTGTGAGGGATGCAACAAGGAGTGACGAGGGAATCTATCCAATACTCGACGCTCAGAGGAAAGGTAGGACGGACGTATAATCAGAATGCTACTGGCCATACTGTATCGGAAGTCTGCGCTCGCTGCTGAGGATGAGGACGGAGCGCTTATGGAAATTCCTTGAGTGCTGTGATGTCGGTTCTTTAATCAGTTTAACTCAACTCAACACTATTGAGTTACAGACGGTGCCAACAACAGTCTGAGATGTCTGAGAAAAGCTGTAGGAGTGACCAGAAGGGACGCAGTCACGAAATAGGTCATATGAAAAAACTTCCGCACGGAACTACTTCCAACTTACATACAAGCAATCAGCCAATCAGCATGGCCTTTACGGAACGTCGCTCTCTTCACGGCACGCCTGAAAGTCTCTCTTTCTCTAGAAAATTCTCCAGCTCTGTGTGCTTTCATTGCCAATACATCTTTAATGTCCTTTATCCACATTCGCAGAGGCCATCCTCCTCCTTGTTTTTTTTTTATTTCTTTCAGAAACTGCAGCCTCAATCACTGTTCTCTCCAGGCCAGCGTCGCACTTGAATGATCAAAGCATCTTAGCTTTCTTGAGGACCTGTTTATGAGCCAGTTCTCCTGGATGTTCAGGTCACTCAGGATAAATTAAATACAAAGGCAGCAGCTCAAATTGTTTCGATGTTTTGCACATAGAGAGAATGCCTTGTGATCCCATACTATAGAAGGTATTCACTGAAGACAAATAAGGACGTAGGGAAAGAGATAGACCAAGAACAAGGTGGAAATCTATGAAGCGTCATCTCCCTTGGCCTATTGCTGTTTTCACAGTTTCTCTATATACGAAATCTTCACTGAACAGATTTAATATCAAATAAGCAAATGAGACAAGAGATCAAGCAAGAAAATGTATCCAATTGTATCTTCACTTGCTGCTGAAGATGAGAACGAAGCGATTATGGGGGTGTATCGAGTGCTATGATGTCATTTTTAATTTAACATTCAACATTCATTCCAATTGTATACGAGAGCGGCATTGGAACTACACTGGCCATGTAGTCTGAATGGATAAGACAAGATTCCTACATCAAACCCCCATATGAACACCGGAGTGCAAAAGAAACACATGAAGACATAGAGAGACCCTTATTGTAGAAGGCTCAACCATGGGCCTAACATCCAAGACCTAAAGCAGGTGGCAACAAACCGTTAGACATGGAATGCTATGACATTTTCCCTATGCGCCGCCCTATGTTCAAGGGGAAAGACTAACTAGACTAACTAGCACTTGCCCACATATTTATGTCATCTTTTTACCTATCTTGAATTCAACCCATTCGTCTAAGCACCACTAATCTCTCTCTCTCTCTCTCTCTCTCTCTCTCTCTCTCTCTCTCTCTCTCTCTCTCTCTCTCTCCCTCTCTCTCTCTCTAATGTGTAACATTGACTGGATTTCAGAACCCAACCTCTATCCAGTGCATATTAGGCTTACAATCACCCCCAAGACACTGGTCGAGGACTACAAGACGCTTAGACGGCTTGTGGCCAAGTACTCCCTGTATGCAGCCAGCAAACTGTACGGGCCTGACGTCACCACCCTAGACAAACACTCCACAGCTAGAAATTACTTAACACAGTAAGTATGGTACACTTTACTGATTACTGAGTAAGGACTCGACATCATAAGACAAAGGGCATACACATAAATGCTTTGTCTGGGGCAGCAAATGCCTTAACTGTTTGAATCCCAAGGAACGTGTCATATGTTCATAGATTCCTACCTAGAAGCCCAATGAACGCTTGATGCGCCGATTTTATGTCTTTCTTGACTACCCCTTGGGCCTGTGATGCTAAACCCCCTGGGACTCAAAGAGTTAAGGAGTCGATCACTGCTATTCCATAATGTGTACTCAGAAGCCTTCATTTCTTCTTCTCTGGACGTTCAGGGGATTGCGTGGTCTCGAGGCATGGTGTCCGCCTCGAGTGTTAGAGGTTCCGGGTTCAATCCATGGTAAGAGCTATGATTTTTTATGTGGGCTTGGACTTTTAGTAATTCTCCCTGGTCTCTAGGCAGTAAGATAAGACCCCCGTATGCATTGCTGCGCACGTAGAAAAATCCCTTGGCAGTTGGAAATCGAAAAGAGTATCCTAACGGCGCTGCCCGGGCAAGATTTGGAGTTAAAAATTTACCTAAAGTATTTCAGGATCCTAGCCGGTGCTACAGAGTCTGTGCATTGTGCTGAGCTTCTTCAGACTCACACTTGATTTAGAAGAAGAACGGAGCACTTATAGGTTACGCCCGTGTGCCATGATGTTGATCCGTTGTTCAACACCTCAAAACTTTATACCTATATTGTCGTCTCACTGATACGAAGTTGAAGCCTAGTGTCGTGGTTTTATCGTCTCATTGACACCAGGTTGTAGCCTAGTGTCGTGGTTTTGCCGTCTGATACGAGGTTGTAGCCCAGTGTCTTCTCTTTGTCGTCTCACTGATACCAGGTTGTAGTTCAGTGTCGTGGCTTTGTCGCTTCACTGATACCAGGTTTTAGCCCTGTGTCGTGGTTTTGTCATCTCACGGATACCAGGTTGTAGCCCACTGTCGTAGTTTTGTTGTCTCACTGATACCAGGTTGTAGCCCTGTGTCAAGGCTTTGTTGTCACACTGATACCAGATTGTAGCCAAGTTTCGTGGTTTTTCTGTATTTATCTTGCGCTTTTCGTGTGGCTTGGGAAACGGATTTGTTCATCTTTTTGCAGGTTTCGGCTACTTCATTAATCCGTCTCTCTTGGTCTTCCTCTCGCCTTCGTCCCAGATATTCTACTGTAAAAAGTCTCAAATAAAATTTTGTCCGGCTGCATTCTAGCTAGATCCTTGAACCATTTCCTTCTTTGTCTGTCAATATAATTCAGACATTGTCTTATTCCAACTTTCTCTCTAATGCTGGTACTCAGAAGCTAGACGTAAAAAAAAAAATGGCTTGTTACGATTCCGAGACCAAGCGTAGAAAGATCACTGTTTTGCCAATGATCCACGGGTCACTCCAATAGGTAGATAGCATTTTATTCCCACGATTCCAACTCAGTACCTGTATCATTCATGTCCGGCGTGCACATGTCTTTATATCGTAGTAAATGTCGGCATCGATATCTTCTACCTGTCATTAGTTCACTGTAAAGGATGTTCTTAGGAACTATGTCATCCTCAATTCTATAGGTCTGGCCAAGTTGAATCATCGTTCCCATGCGGGCTGCAATTTTTCGTTATTTTGAAACTCACTGGGTTTTTATCGCTCTGAGTGATGTCCTGGTGGGGTAAAGCTTATTTACACAGCCACCTGAGCCTTCGAAGACAGAGCATTGAGAAGACTGTTGTAATACCTGCTCTTTCCAGTACCTCAGTGTTTGTGATCTTGTCCTGCCACTTAATGCCAAGTGTTCTTCTTAGGCATCGCATATGAAATCTTTTAAGCCGTTTTTTTTAGTGAAAATAAGTTGACCAAGTTTGACTGCAATAAAGCAGAGGTTTTAGTTTTCAGGTTTGAAATATGGATCAACATCATGGCACAGGGGTAGTAACGCATAAGTGCTCAGTTCTTCTTCTAACTCAGGTCCGAAGAAGCTCAGCACAGTGTACAGGCGCTGTGACACAGCGAGGATCCTGAAGTACTTCGGGTAGATTTTTTACTCCAAATTTTTCACTGAGCAGCGCCGTTAGGATACTCTTTTCGATTGTCAACTGCCAAGGGATTTTTGACGTAAGCAACAATTCACACGAGCGTCAGATCGCACTACCCAGAGACCAGGGGGAATGGCTAGAAGTCCAAGTCCACGTGAAAAAATCCCAGCCCTAACCTGGGAATAAACCCAGAACCCCTAGCACTCGAGGCGGTCAACATGTCTGGAGATCACACAACCCCACTGATATAAAGCAGATTGCTGAGAACACTAGACTGATAGACAAGAGTTTGAGATGTGGAAAGCCTTTCTATGATCTACATCAGTCATTATTTTCAGGTTTTTGGCAGCTGAAGGGGAGAATGTCGTCGACGCAATCAGTCTTCACCAGTAGGTTATTTTTTTTTCTTCGGTATCATCATCTTTATCATCCTCATCATCATCATTATCATCATCATCATCTTCTTCTTCTTCTTCTTCTTCTTCTTCTTCTTCTTCTTCTTCTTCTTCTTCTTCTTCTTCTTCTTCTTCTTCTTCTTCTTCTTCTTCTTCTTCTTCTTCTTCTTCTTCTTTTTCTATTTCTTCTTCTTCTTCTTCTATTTCTTCTTCTTCTTTATTCTTCTTCTCATCATACTCCTCCTCTTCCTTCATCTTCATCATCATCTTTTTTCGTCTTCTTCTTTTTATTCTCTTCCTAACCGCAATTATCTTAACAACACAATTTTGTTGTTTTTTGTTTCTTAAATATTTCTTTGCATAGGGGTGGGGCGGGGTGGAGGAAGCAACAACAAAAATGGGAGGGGGTGTTGAGAGGAGAGGTGGGAGTTGTGTTGTCATTCATTTTTTTTTTCAACATTGTTTTTTTCCTCTGCGTGCCTCTTTGGGATAGCTGGTACCAAGTCAGATTTATCTGATAGCTAAACGATGTCTTGTGCTGCTATTTAATATATTATATATTAATATCGCAACAGAAACTGTACTGATCATAGAAAGAAGTAGAAAGATAGAAGAACTATTTAGAAGAACTGTTTATTCATTTCAAATGAGTCCTGGACTATGTCTTAGTCCTTAAGAAAGAGAATAGTGCTTTTGACCTGAAATGCTATAGAAAGATTATTAGAATATCTTGGACAAAGAAGAGGAGAAATATTGACATCTTCAAAGATCTGAACATCAAGAAAAATTGGCTAATCAACAGCATTATTTCTCGAAAGCTGAAATATTTTGTTCATATCAAGCCCCACGACGGATTAGACAAAATTAAAGCAGAGGGTATGGTATCAGGAAGGAGGTGCAGGGGCCGACCGACACGAAGATGTGCACAGGATATACGTGACTCCTTGTGTGTGAAAGTCCATGAGGCCGGAGAGCTGGTGAGAGACCGAGTTTCTTTTAGGCAGACCATGACGAGAGCTACCTTCTGCAAAGGACCTGCTACCTGATGATAATTATGATTATGTTTATTTATTTAATATATTGTACGACTGATTTCAGACCGAAGCTTCTTTCTTTGAATTCTAAATGTAATATCCTTACATAGCTACTACTGCAAAAATAATGCTTCGATGGAGGAATTTCTGAATCTGTCGAGTCTGGAATCGCTAAGAAGTTCCATCGAAATCGGCAAGACTCTGGTGCAAGTCACTACAAATCCTTTACCACTGATATTGTCAGAAACATCATCCTGTGCTGGCGGAGGGGCGCCGAATCTGTCAGGTCGTTACCTAGCTGGATTCTTGTGAGTATTACTCTGTTTTGTCTGCGTGTGCGTTTGTGTGTGAGTATATGTAGGAGTGCGTGTGTGCGTGCATCGGTGTCCGTGTGTGTGTCTGTGTGTGTGTGTGTGTGTGTGTGTGGGTGCGCGTGTGTGTTCGTGTATATTTGTATGTGGGCGAGCGCGTGTGTCCAAGCATGTGTGTAAGGGGAGGGTGTTTGTGTATGCGTGTGTGCGTGTATGTGTGCATGTGTGTGCGTGCTTGTGAGTGTACGTGCGAGCGCTTGTGTTTGTGTGTGTGTTTTCTTACATTTCTCTTCTTTGTTCTTTCTTATGTTTTCTGATATCGCTTAACTATTTTATCCGGGTTCAAACCCCTGTGAATCCTGGGGTTTTTTCACGTGGACTTCTGGTAATTTCCCCTTGTCTCTGGGTAGTAAGACCGGACGCCCGTGTGTATTGTTGCGCACGTTGACAATCTCTCGGCAGTTGGAAATCCAAAACGAGAAGCCGAACGGCGCTGCCCGGGCACAATTTAGATTTTAAAATCTACCCAACGTATTTCAGGATCCTCGCCGGTGCTACGGAGTTTGTATACTGCGCTGAGTTTTCTTTTCACACTTATGCTTGAGTCAGAACTAGAACGGAGCAGTTATGGGTTAAACCCGTGTGCCATGACGTTGATCCGGTAACTCTTTTCAAAACACCCCATAAATTCATGCATTCCTTTATTCAGTCTGTGTTAAAATTAAACATGGAAGTTTCTACTAAAGAGGCCAGGTGGTTCTATCCTAATCTCTCCCCCCCCCTCCCTTTTCCCCCAAGCAGACAGTCTCTCTCTGCCTCTCTCCATCTTTCTCTCTCTTACTCTCATGTGCATGTACACACACACACACACACACACACACACGTGAACAAGAAATCTGAAGATGTTCAACATGTGTCCACAGATGGTTGGATAAACTGGGTCTGTCCGCCGTCTACGGCGTCAAACAAGTGTTCCGACAAAGCTTCTTTTCTGGAGCCGCTTACTCGCTCGTGCTGATCAGTGACACAACACCACAACCAGTTCGTAGCCGGTTTATTCTTTGTATTGATATTGATCGCAAACCTTGCTACACTCATCATCATCATGTAGCAGGTCCTTTGAAGAACTTCGCTCTCATCACAGTCTGCCTAAAAAATACTCGGTCTTTCGCCAGTTCTTCCACCTCATGTACTTTCATACTCAAGGAGTCACTTATATCATACTCAAGGAGTCACTTATATCCTGTGCCCATCTTCGTGTCGGTCGGCCCCTGCCCCTCCTTCCTGGGACCATGCCTTCTGCTATAATTTGTTCTAGTCCGTCGTGGCGCTTGATATGACCAAAATATTTCAGCTTCTGAGACAGGATTCTGTTTATTAGCCAATCTTCCTTGATGTTTAGATATTTCAAGATGTCAGTATTTCTCCTTTTCTTTGTCCAAGATATTCTAAGAATCTTTCTATAGCATTTCAGCTTAAAAGCCCTTATTCTCTTTCTTTAGGACTCCTTGCTTAACTACTGGACGTAGATTTACCTGGAAAAACCACTGCAGCCAACGCTTGGGTTGTTTCTGCAACGTTTTGTAAAGGATACGCAACTAACATATACCTGATTGGCAGTTGAATTAAGGAGGGGAGCTCTAATATCAACAGAGCTGACTGAAGAACCGATATCACAGACTTTAGACATCAGACAGCCCCTCAGGCTTCGTTGCACAAGTTGCAGCATGACTGCATATCCGTCTTCGGTCTGTGCTTTGCTGGCTAATTTGCTACCGCAGCGACAACATAACACCAAATTTCACAACGGTGCTGTTTACGGTAACCGTGACGTTTAAATTAGGTTACGTACTGCGCTCTGTTTAATTCATAAATCATTGGACTGCGCTGGGGCATAGGGGTGTGAGCTAATTCTAGATTATTTCAGGGACACCACCGGCGATGTGCGATGTTGCAGGTGAAGAGGGTGGGGGTAAATTGTCGCAGCCAGCCAGGCAACCTTTCACTATGTCGAGTCGCAGTTCGCTCGACACATACAGAATTCCCGCGGAATAGAATCGCACACCCATGTGACCCAGAAGAGTACAAGAAGCTATGAATACAAGGTCAACATCACAGTTACCGTGAACAGCAGGCTCACAACACCTATGACAAAATCACCATATCATCTTGTCCCTGTCCAAGAGTCAGATAAAATGCAACAGGGAAAGATCGTGGCCTGGCTCCATGAACCAAGTCGGCCCACCTTCCGAGATGTCTAGGAAGTAATGGGCTGAAACAATTGTCGACAAGGGATTTTTCTACTGATGATCGGTGGACTCCTGCTGGCGCATTATCCATTGTGAAGTTCTTATTATTATTATTGCTGGAACAAAAAATCGTCACGTTCAAACAGCATCCCCGAAAAGGGGGGGGGGGGACCTTTAGATTATAACTGTGACGAGTTTACGTGATCCATAAAAGATGGCTTAGGTTTGCACGGCACCAAGAACACTAAAAAGGACTCTTGGCAGTGGTGTTGCGATCATAGGAGAGAGAACCAGTTACTGTCGCGACCGGCAGCGAAGTTGTCTACCGTCTTGCCTTTCCTCGATTGTTTATGGTCGGCCAGAACACCTTGTCAGTCTTCGCTGCACCATTCAGGAAAGTTTGACAAGCACTCCCGTAGCTTCTGCAGCATGTTTTGTCCCGAAAAATATCGGTGCTACCTCTCTTGTGGTAAAAAAGTTAGGCCGGGTGAGAGATTATACTTCATAAGCAGCACCTGGTTTCGACAGTAACAGGCTTTGTGCTTTGGAGATGGGCTGTGATTGTCATTCAATGCTAAAGCACTATGTAACTCTTAGTATTAGTCTTATTATGAAAAACTCCACAGGGAAGCATGCACAGTAGGGGTCCAAAGAGTAGAAAGGTCCCTCGTCACGATTGTTTAGGCCCATTATCTCCCAAGACAATCTAGAAAGGTGGGCCGACCTGGTTCACGAAGCCAGGCCTCAGACATCTCCAGCTGTACTTTATCGGACGTTAGGACAGGGACAAGACAAAATTGAGACTTTGCAACAGGTATTGTGAGATTTGATGTTTTAAATGTATATCGTCGCTGCGGCAGCGAATTAGGGCGACTACCTTCACGCCCAGAGAGACGGTTGGTTCATCGGACAGATGTTCGACTTTGGCAAAGGGCAGAGAGACACTGGCAAACATTTATCGGTCACTTTATCTTTTTATGTAATAAAAGCTCTTTTCTACTAGGGACTCGGACCAGTCTACAAAGACCTATCCCCCACGACATTGCGTCCACAGCCAGCTCGAAGCCGCTTCGCCCAGTTGCTTTGTGTCTGTTTACGCTTTTTTTATTTTTAAACTCTTAGTCTTAATCGAGGATAAGATTAGATAATTCTAGATGCTGATCAGCTCATTACCTGATACAACATCAGAATAGTGATGCAGTTGATTCCAGGCCACTACAGCACACCAGGTAATAACAGAGCTGACAGGCAAAGAAAGGAGCAACACAAGAACAACCACCTACAGCGACAATCCTACAGACAGCAAAAACACTGATAAGAGCTATAAACATAGAGACTTGGCTGAACAGATGGGCCATGGAAGATACTGGAAGAGAGGTTTATAGACATATGGCTAATCCTGATCCTAACGACAGCATTAACCATTTAACAAGAAGGGACTAGGCCACTATCTTCAGACTCAGAACACAACATACTCCACTCAATGAACACCTAAACAGAATACAGCCACAACACTCCCCAAAGTGCCAGCTATGTAACTACCCCTACGAAACTGTTGACCATCATCTCTTTGAGTGCCCAAAACTCAGCGAGACTAGGAGAATGCTACTCCCTCCAAGACGAGACAAGTGGAACACCTTGTACGGAGGAAAAGAACAGCTTGTGAAAACATGTAAATTCTACTACATGGCATTGGGCCAAAGAGCGAAATCTCATGCGCCGCTGGATCAATAACAACAGCAACAGCAACAACGCTTTTTTATTTTTAAACTCTTAATCTTATTGGAGGTTTCAGTGTCATTGCGGTCAGGTCAGCCTCTATTTGTTCCGTTCCTGTGCCAGTGTAAATCAAATTAAATGTCCCCCATTGTCTCATTTGAAAAACCGATGAACAAATTATTCCTGGCACAATCCAGAAATAAGCGGACGAGGTAAATGTATATGACAGTTGCTAGAGGCGCCATAGCTAACAGCCGCCACCAGAATTGAAGTTTGTCGTTGATGGAAGTAGTCGAGCACGATAAGTTGGCTACACATACAAAAAATTATTACGTAAAGTATTTCATCAGCCCGCACGTAAACCGGCTACGGGTCGTATCGGATGCTACGACTCAACAACAAATGAAAGTTATTCCAGGTAAAAAAAAAAACTCACAGGGCTGCACCAAGCACTACACAGGCAGAGAAACCGTAGACTATCGTCTATGTTTTAAAATTGCATTAGCAAAGCGCTGTCGAAAATAATATAACACTTTCGTCAGGAAAGCAAGAAAGGCGCCTACATTTTCATGATCATTTGAGACTGGCACCACCTGCTTACCACATCCCACGACGTGGAGACAGCTCGCTTGCTTTAGTTTTTCATAATGATCACCTTTGACATCATCATCACCACCACCACCATCATCATCACCATAATCTTCAACACCCGACACCTCGCACGAAATAAATTGAGAAGCAGAAGGTCATGTGGGTTGTTCAACAACTGCCAACGCATAAAACGAAGTCAGGATACATAACAAGTATATGTACTTTCGCATGGAGACAAAAGTAGTCAAATATAGAGGTTTGCAGAGGCTGCGTTTAAACTGAAAGTTACTAATAAAGAGACAATTTTTGGCTGCTTTTTTTTTTTGTTTTCCCCCACTAGGCAATTTTACTTTCAGTACTCTGCCAAGAAACCGTAACAGCCATGCTCTTCAAATACTAAAATAACTGAATAAATTATGAAGTGAGACAGACAGAACTATAAAAAATTAGATTTCTAAAAGCACGCATCTTTTCCATTGAAACATACTCCTGTGAGACCTGGACACGTACTAAACAAGCCGAACAGTGCAATAAATAATGCCTTTGAATATAAATTTTATAGACGGGTTCTAAGAATATCTTGGGTAAAGAAAGGAGCAAATGTATTCATACTTCAAGAACTGAACAAAAGACGATAAAACAAAGAAACTTGAAATATTTTGGCCACTTGAAACGTCACGAAAGTTTAGAGAGAACAATATTGGAGGAAAATTGGCTGGTGATGAACTCCTTGGTTATGACTTGATTTACGACAAGCTAGATGTGTTCAAGAACCTGTGGGACACAAAACGGATGGGAAGAGGAACGTCGAACAGAAGATGGGTGCGGGACATTTTGCTTGAGATCGAAACGTTGTCCCGAGGGTTGTTATTGGAGCACAGTTGTGCAAAGGACAGACTACTGACTGTCTCTGCCATTGCTTCCTTGACTTAACTCTCGATACTACTCTTGATACCACGCAAAGCTGGGATCGAACCCGTCACCTCGGAACTGCGAACGAAATTCGCAACGCCTTAGCCACATACACAAGCTACATGGCATAACACTCTTTTTAAAAGAAGAACTAGAAAACATTTTCGAAGGCAAGAGAAGAAGATGTAGACAATGATACAAGTGGGAGGACAACATAAACAGAGGGACGAACAATAGTCTTAGATATTCTACTACTAAGACAAGAGACAGACCGTGCTGGAGATCCATTGTAGCCTACCTTTTATGTGGAGACGGCGCCTGACTGATTGATTGATTAACTGAAAGCAATCTGCTTTTCCTCTCAAGACTAGCGTCCTACTTCTTCTTCTTCCTCTTCCTCTTTGTGTTCGATTTCGTATGCTCAGATCAGACCATCAGGTGGGTTTTCCCTTTGAACTCGCCTGTCAGAAGCAGGTCCTCCACGGTTTCCCACAGCCTGCTCTGCACACCCCGCTCCCGAGGCTAGGTGTCCCCTCGAATTTGTAAGTAGAGTGGGCAGGTCTGCAGAATTTGCTCAGTCGCTTGTAGTCCCGCTTGACAGGGACACAATGGGGACTGTACAATATTTATTTTATGCATATGGCAGCGAAGCCGGCAGTGTCCCGCCCGCAGACGAAAAACCGTTGCATGTCGCCCCATGTTGAGTTTGCCGAAGATTGGAGTCCGTAGAATTAACATCTTTAAGAACAGAAAATCTGTTCAATCGTCCACCGCATTTATATTAGAGCACTCCTACGATTAAAAGTAAGCTGCATTCCAATAAAAAGATGAAAAAAAAAAAAAAAGATCTGCCGATAAAGCTGACGGGTTCCTAATAAGAAGATGGACTGATGACATTAAAGAATTGTAAAGAGCTCATCTACATAACGGGGGAGAAGGGTGGGTGTGGGGGCTAAATGGTCTCGAGTGCAGGAGGTCACGGTTTGAGGCCCCGTTGAAGGCTGTGATTTGTTTCACGTAGACTTCTAGGAATTTCCCCTGGTCTGTGTGTAGTACGATCGAACGGTCATGTGTATTGTTGCACACGTACCCAAAAAAAAAAAAAAAAGCCCTTGGCAGTTGGAAATCGAAAACAGTAGCCTAAAGGCGCTGCCCGGGCAAAATTTGGAGTTAAATATCTATCGACTCACTTCAAAATCTGACCAGACATGACTAACAGATGGTTTTGATCGATTGGCATAGATTACCAGGATTTGATTAAATATATTATTATCAACGAGGTCGCTACACATTCAAAGATCTGAACTGAAATCAAGAGACCGCCCTAGGGGAAGATGACAAAGAGCTACTACATCGACACAGAATGACAATATAAATTGCTACCTACCAAGCAGTAGATAACAAACTGTTCATCCACACAACACCTAACGGTAGCAGTGGAAATTGATGATGATGATGATGAGATAAATATAATAATTCAATTCAAATAGATTACCAACAGGGATTGAGGTATCCCTCTGAGTCAAATAGATTGCCATCTTCAACTGTAAAAATCCCCCCCCCTCTCTCTCTATCTCTCTCTCTCTCTCTCTCTTTCTCTCTCTCACTCTCTCTTCTTGTACCGCACCAGGATATTACACAAGCGATAAACACGCAGTGACACAAAGTGCCACCATCCGGATGAGGATCACCCGTGGAGAGGTCCCAGAAACCCCTTTCAGCGTTATGACCCGGCTATGTTCAGGGCGCCCGGCAAATGCCAGGGTGAAGCTTCAAATAACAAAAAATTGCATCCTACAATGGGACGACCTAATATTGAGTAAAAATCATTCCAATGAAAACAGATCATCAACGTTAATTGCATAAATCTATTTAATTCACATAAATTATTAACATTTGATAATGAAATCCCCCTATATATATATATGTTCATTCATTCATTGGCACCTTTCCGTCTTTCCAGACGATAATGTTATATTGCGCTATGAGGAGGCATGAGACTCACAGCCCATGGCGATGGTGAGTGTGACTAGCAAGACCCGCCCGTGTCAAGAAAAGTCCCATATCACAAAACCTGGGCAGTATTGCAGAGACCATATGTTGCCCATGCATAATGATCCCTCTCTAGACCTGCCTTGTTTACCCCAAAGGAAAGGTAAAACCAGTACGTTTGGAACGAGGCAGGTTGCAGAAGCTGCCGGATCAGAAGAGCAATGCTCTATCTGTCCGCCTGTCAGAGCTTCCCTCCTAGACCAGCTGCCAGCCAAGGCGAAGGGCCTGGTCTGCCCTGCCATAACATAAAGTTTTCAGGTTGCATTTCCTCTTCCTAGGATAAAGCTAGTATCCTTCCCAATGCGCTCCTCCGCCCAAAGCCTTTGACACAATATGGGATGTTGGGTTAGTATACGCCGCCCAACATTTGGCGAAACAGAAGAGAGCTGGTACCGGCTACTGTACAGTCATATCTGACCAAGACCTGACCTTTATAATATATATAGATATAAACTGACTATTCCCCAGGATTACTACCTAAGCGTGCTGTACAAAAGGCTTGTGGAAGGTCCCGTGTTTAGAGTAAACCTCAACCCTTCAAATCAAAAACTTCGAGTGTATGCTAATTGTGCAAAACAGGGAAAGTAAGATTTTCTATATTTTATAGTCTATAACTAAAAACACCTCCACATATCAACAGGCATCCTTTTATATCCACATAGCGGTCGCAGTAACGCACACAGCATCCTTAAGTATCCATACGCCATCCTCATATATCCACATGACCTCCTCTGGTATTCACGTGTCATCCTCATATATTCACATGGCATCCTCAGGTATTCACATGCCATCATATATCCACATGACATCCTCTGGTATTTAATATCATTCTCACATATCTCTACAAGACATCCTCTGGTATTCACATGCCATCATATATCCACATGACATCCTCCGATATTCACATGTCATCCCCATATATCCACAGGACATCCTCGGGTATTCACATGCACTATACATGCACATGACATCCTCTGGTATTCACATGTCATCATCATATATCCACATGATATTATCTGGTATTCACATGTCATCATCGTATATCCACATGACATCCTCGGGTATTCAATATCATCCTCATATATCCACATGACATCCTCAGGTATTCACATGTCATCCTCATGTCTTGAATATCATAGGCCGTAAATATCAGTATCTACCTACCACATGTCGGCATCTGAGGCTTAGGTGTTGTGAACGTGCTTCATAATTTCGGTTTTTTTGGTTCGATCCCAGCTGCCGGCGATTTGTCTTTCTTTGGTTTCGACAGTGGTACTGCGACTCGCTGCAGCCCAGAGCCGGTGTTCGAAACCGGGCGGTTTCCGTGGTTCACCCAGCCTCTAGGAAATGGGTACCAGAGTTAATACCCTGGGGTAAATGGAGGAACGTCGCTGTAGCTACGGAGTTGCGTACGGACGGCGACACAGGCAGACCGTTTCTTATCAGCTGTCTGTACTAGTGGCAGAAAACTTATGGTTTATAACCGTATGCAAAGACGCTGATTCACATCTCCCGACTTTATCTTTTTTTTCAAACCTTTACGAGACGTTGCAGAACCAACCCTAGCATGTTTTGGCTGTTGTGGTTTTTCTAGGCAAATTTTACGTTCAGTGTTTTGCCATTGCTTACTGACGGGTCAGCTCTCAGTATCTCTGTCGAAACCAACGCAAGACACACCGTTCGCAGCAGGGATCGAACCCAGTACCCCGTCATTACAAAGCGCGTTCCCAACGCCCAAGCCACCCACGCAGACAATGGCAAACTACTGAACCTATAATGTGCCTAGAAAAGCAACAACAGCTACCCAATATTGAGGTTGGTTCTGCACTGTCCTATAAATGAATACGCAACTAACTAATCTAGCACATACCATGACACGCAGCTCTTCAAAACCTGACACTGAGAAGCCAGAACAGGACTAGAGAAGAAGAAGAAGAATATTCGCATACTTATCACCTCAGTAATCCACATGTCATTCAGATATTCACATCTCACCATAAGATTTTTAGCGTCTGTGGCTTAGGCGTTGCGAGTCCGACTCGTAATTCTAACTTACCTCGATCGAAACCCTCTGCTGGCTTCGTGGATTTTAATCATGGTATAAGACGTCGCAGGTCGACCCAGCCTAAAATGGGTACCAGGATGTATGTCCTGGGAAAGTAAAGACAGCCGGCGTAATGCTTACCACATGACCCAGCTAGTGCCGATTGGCCTGTACAAATATGAGGTGGTCTTTCCATATGCGCCCAAGGGATCTTTACTTGACCCTAAGATTTTTACATGACCCCTCTGAGACATCCACATATCATGATATAATTTCACATGGACTGGTACAATATTCACATGTCATCCGCAGATACACCCCGGGTGACCTGGTGATATATTATCTTAACCTAGAAGAGATCCCAGCTATCCTGTCACTGGACCAGTTCCAAGATGCTGACCTGGATTTATACATGCTGACCCCGGGAGACTCCGAAGGCATCAAGTCCAGGTTTACAATGTTAAATGTTGAATCACTGCACACGGGATACTCCGTCCCCATCTTCAGCAGCAAACGAAGAGTTCCAATTCGATGGCACCAGTAGCTGTCTGATTGTATATCCATCTCGCCTTTCCCTTGAGTTTTTAGAGTCGGCTAGATCCTCTGGTAACTCCTCGCATCCTCTTCAGACAATGTGATTTATCTATGCCTCCGCACTGTTCTCTAGCTGCCAAGATCGTTGTTGTTGTTGTTATCGATCCAGAGCCGCATGAGCTTTCGCCCTCTGGCCAAATGTCATGCAGTGGAATTTGCATGTTTTCACAAGCTGTTCTTTTCCTCCGTACAAGGTGTTGCACTTGTCTGGTCTCGGAGGGAGTAGCATTCTTCTAGTCTCGCTGTGTTTTGGGTACTCAAAGGGATGGTGTTCAACAGTTTCGAAGAGGTAGTTACATAGAGGCACTCTGGGGAGTGTTGTGACTGTATTCTGTTTAGATGTCTATTGAGTGTAGTATCTTGTTTTCTGAGTCTGAAGATGGTGGCCTGCTCCCAGCTCCCAAGGTTAAAGCAACTAGAGGTTTATAAGTGTTTAATATACCCGATTTTAATTTACCGCAGATTATTTCATAGAGCATCAAAGAATTAAATGATTTGGTCATCTGATCAGAATGGCCAGGGCTGTAGGAGTGACCATAAGAGATAAGATCAGGAATAAGATCATAAGAGAACAAGTCGGCACAGAACCAATTCTGGATTACATACAAAGACAGCAAGTGAAATGGTTTGCCCACTTAGAGAGAATGCCTTGTGACACCATACCATACAAAGCATACATGGAAAGAGAAGAAGGACGTAGAGCACGGGGTAGACCAAGAACAAGATGGAAGGATAACATCAGAGAAACTCTACAAAAGCACGATGTGCCTATGGTCGAGGCAGCCAGAAGAGCTAGAAACAGAACCTTATATCTCCCTCGACACCCACAGCGGTAAAAGAGGAAGTGAAGAAGAAGATCAGAATGGCAGAAAAATCAGCTAGCAGCTATATGAGAACATCGTGATATAAGGAAAGAGTCCCACCAACAAACCTATTGATAGATAATATGTTAACGCGGTATGATACTAACACAAGCTACACAATTTAGCCGCGGTAGTGTAACGGCTAGTCGCTTGCCTGCGGATCGGAAGGTACTGGGTTCAGCTCCTGTCGGTGCCATACTCTTGTTCTTAATTTTTCAAAAAGTTTGACCTAGCCTTAAATTAGTACCAGGTATAGTACTGGGAAGTAAAGGCGGACGGTGTTATGCCGACCTCATGATGCGAAAAGTGCGGACTGGTAAATAAAATATAGGTCTCGCCCTTCACGCCCAATGCGCCCGAAGAGAAGAAACGGGTGCGTAATTTCACTTTTGCAAGCTACATGACTGTCAAATGTTAGGAAACTACATTCAACACCTCTCTGCGACGCTTCTCGGCATAGAATTTAAAAAAAAAAAAAAATAAAAAGGTTAGTTCTGTACCCTTTACAGGACGTTGCAGAACCAGCCCCAGGTATTTTGTTCCTGTTGTGGTATTTTTTTTGCAAATTTTACGTTCTGTAGTTTGCCATTGCTGTCTGGACGGCCAGCTCTCGGTATCACTGTCGAAACCAAAGCAAGACAAACCGTCCACAGCTGCGATCGAACCTAGCACTCCAGCATTACGAAGCGCGTTAGCAACGCCTAAGCCCCAGACGCCTAACATAAGAATTAGGACAATAGACTTTCTATCCCCCATTGGAGCATAGGCCATCAACCAACTCACGTCAAGTCGTTCTTTCATTTAAGAAGCCCCCCCCCCCCCCCACCCCATGTCCTACCTATCTTTCGAACTTCATTCTCCAGCTTTCTTCTCCATATGTTTTTTGGCCTTCCTTTATTCCTATGCCCCTGTGGGTTCAAATGCAAAGACATTCTAGTTATGCTGTTCTCCGGTTTTCTCAATGTGTGTCCTATCCAACCCCAGCGTCTTTTCCTACTTGGAGCTTGCTTACTTCTTTCCCAAAGCTCTACATTAGTTATTATATCATGCCATTTAATTCCCTCTTTTCTTCGCATGCACCAGTTAATGAATATCTGCAATTTATTAGTAGTTGTTTTGGTTGTTCTCCGTGTATCCGCTCCATACAAAAGTACTTATTTGATAGAATCAAATGTTATAGATCGGTTAAAACTTAAATGGTCTTGTGGTTAAAGTCCCTGTGGCTGTTCCTAATTCCCACCAAATTTCATGTTACAGATGTTATGCTGTGTCGTCATCAGAAGCTGAGAACATGTAACCTGCCGAGAGCGTAACACAGAGCACGACCTCTGTAGCTCCGGCTACGTTCCACTGTAATCTCCTCAAAAATTGCACTTGTAGACTGAACGGCACCGCCGGGAAACGAACCCACCACCTTCAGAGCGCGAGGCAAGTGGCTTGACCACTTCGCCACAAAGACCCGCTGGGGATTTTAGGAATAACGCGGAAACATGACGGGACTGCCACGGTTTGAGACGAATTACGCGAAAGTTACTGACGAAGCTCGGCCACTTAGACACAAGGGAATTAGGGTAGAGGTCGACCGAGCAAACGATAGATGGATGGAATATCCGGGGCAATAAATACCAGCATCTACATAGTATCATAGGCGTCTGTGGCTTAGGCGTTGCGAAAGCGCTTCGTAATGCCGGGGTGCCGGGTTCGATCCCAGCTGCGGGCCTTGCGGGTTGAGTTGGTTTCGACTGTGGTATTGAGAAGCCGACAGTCCAGAAAGCAATGGCAAACTGCTGGACGTAAACTTGCTTAGAAAAAACCGCAAAAGCCAAAAAATGCAATGGTTGGTTCTGCAACGTCCTGTAAATTATATCCAACTAACTTTAACATAGCATATACCAAGTCTCTCATCTGATGCCTCTTCAAAACCTGACACCCGAATGCAGAACAGGGCTAAAGAATAAGGGGTGAGACTAAGTACTAGAAGAAAAAAAGAAACGATCTTGTAATCAGATTGCATGTCATCATCATCATCATCCTGTAGCATGTCCTTTGCAGAACGTCGCTCTCATCACAGTCTGCCTGAAAGAAACTCGGTCTCTCGCCAGCTCTCCCGCCTCATGTACTTACATATTCAAGGAGTCACCTAAAGCCTGTGCCCATATTCGTGTTGGTCGGCCCCTGCCCTTCCTTCTTGGCACCATGCTTTCTGTTACTATTTTTCTAATCCTCTATGATGGTTTTTACGACCAACATATTTCAGCTTCCGAGACAGGATGCTGTTTATTAGCCAAACTTCCTTGATATTCAGATCTCTTACAGTGTCAATATTCTTTGTCCATGGTATTATGAGAATCTTTCTGTAGCATTTCAGCTCAGAAGCGACCATTTTTTAAGAACTAGGAGATTGTATGTAAAACAATAAAATTGGAACTACACTGGCTGCTGATAAAGTGGACGGAACATTTATTCGAAAGCTTCTAGAATGTTATTTCTATCGGTCCTTTAAGGGCCTGAAGGCCGTGTGTTCAAATCCCAAAGAAACTTTCTGGTTTTTTTTTTTAAATGACCTTGGCTCCCACTTTGACTTAGCCTAAAATAGGTGACATGTAAATTCCAGGGAAGTAAAGGCGACCGGCGTGATATTGACCACATCACCAACCTAGTGCCGATTTGTCTATAAAATATAGGTCTAGAACTATCTACCCAATACTCATGAGGCCATCATTATCAAGTTCCTTGGCGACTGGCTTGGGCGGTTGCATGTATTTCACACATGCAACATTTCTTTGTCTCCTCAGAGAAGTGAAGCTGAGGGGGAACCCCCGGGTGGCAGCACAGTCTTTTTTTTTTCCCTTGTTTTTCCCGGGCTTCTTTTAAAACAAGGTACACAATATTTTCCCAAAAGGATGGAGATGGGGGGGTTTGCAAGTAAACCAAAGCAAAAAAATGAGCTTTGTGTTTTTTTTTGGTTATTTTTTGGGGTGTTGTTTTTTGGGGGAATTTAAAAATGCAAACGGGGTTTTACTGGGGGTTTCTCGGGGAAATGGTGTCCGCCTAAATTTGCTAGGGGGGTTGGGGGTTTCAATCCCCGAAACTGATAAAATTTTCACGTAAACGGACGTTAAAAATTTCCCCGTGGTCTCTAAGTACAAATTTGGGACGCCCTGGGGCCAGGGGTTGCCCCACGAAAAAAATCCCTTGGCATTTGGGAAATTAAAAAGAGTAGCCAAACCGGCCCGGCCGGGGTTTAAAATTTTGGCAGTTAAAAATTCCCCAAAAAAGAATTTTTCAGGAGCCCCCGGGCGTAAAGAGGCTGTGCACTGTGCATTTTTTTGGGGGGGACTCAGAGATTTTAGAAGAAAAACTAAGCATTTAGGGGTTTTCCTACCCGTTTTGCCATGATTTGATCCGTTTTTTTAAAACCTTTTACCCCTTTTAAAAAAAGGGAAAGAAAAATAAATTTTAAAACAGGTTTTATAGAAAACTTTATGCACCCCAAATTTTTTCTCAGGATTTAAAAAATGCCAAATATTTTAATATATTTTTTAAACTAAAAATTTAAAATGGAGAAAAGTTTTAAAATTTTGACGACCAGAGCATGAGGTAAAAGTAGATTGTAAGACGAGGCAAAGAAATGTTTTTTCCCATTTGGTTTGTTCACTTACAAAAGGCTTTACTCAAGGAAAGGGAAAAAAGACTCGAGAATTCGGTGACAATTGAAGGGCCCGAAAGACAGCAGGGGAAAACCCAAAAGGGGAAAAACACGTGATGGTTTGTCCCCCGGGGAACAGGGAAACCAAGGACCGGGTTTGTTTCCCTGATTCTCTCCCTAACCCGGTTTAGGATGGTAAATTTGGACCCCCACGGGCCCTGTGGGGCCAGGCAAGGGATCATAAAATTACAGGTAGAAAAATTAAGTATTTTGGCCACAAAAACCCCCATGGTGGTTTTAAAAAAGCCGGTGAAAAAAAGGGTTTAATAAAAGTAACAGGGAAATAAAAATTTTATAGGTGATGAAGGGGCAGTTTGTGGGAAAGAGGGGGCGGGGGGTCGACTTCGCAAGGTTTGGATACTGGATTTTTAATTTGGGCTCGGGGCGTTGAAAGCACATGGGGGTGGAGAGATGATTTAAGAAAAAAAAAATTTTTTTTAGAAGAGCCATAAAGGAAGAGGGGAGAGAGAGGGGACGAGGAGAGAGAGAGAGAACAGAAAAGGACAGAAAGACAAAAGGGACGGGAGGGGGAAGGGGGGGCAGAGAGGGAGAGGGGAGGGGAAAGAGACCGAAGAGGGAGAGATGGGGGGGGCCCGGAAA